AGTGTGCAAGCCTCAACCACCAGTCAGTGACCAATCTCTGAGTAATATACATCCTGGTATATTATATATATATTGAAATTACGCCTTGCAACCCTGAACCTTCTTATTGTGCATCCTTGTCATGGAATTACGCAAGGTGTTACAGCACAGAAACAGGCCATTCGCCTAAACTAGTACCCGCCAGTGTTTATACTCCACATAAGCCTCCATCCCTTCTATTCTCCTCGCCTATACCCCTTTATTCCCTTCAGCCTTGACAAGGCTGCTACAGAAGCAAGAGGATAATTATACAAGGCCAGAATAATAAGAAAGCTATCAGTAGATCTAAAAGTGAGTTTAAGACAAATTTCTCTATGATGGGAATGTGAAACCCATGATAGTGAATGACCAATTTTATTTGAGGAATTGTTGGCCAGAATACCAGCAGAAACTCCATTCTCTTTTCAAATTGTGCCAATGGATCCTTTTAACAACCACTGAGCAGAAACATGTTGTTCAGGTGGTTGTTAAAAGATCCCATGGCACTATGTGACCTTGGCTTAATGTCTCATCTAAAGAACATCACCTCTGACAATGCAACACTTCCCAAGTACTGTATTGGAGTGTCAACCTAATCTGTGAAGTCTAAGTCCCGACATCAGGCTTAAACCTGTAATAATATATATATATTGTAATATACACATATATAAAATATATATATGTAAAATACACACACCGTCACATGGGACAGCGGCTTGGAGCACTTAATCTTCTGATTCAGAAGCAAGGGTGCTACCGACTGAGCCAGGCTGACACCCGAGTATTAGTTAATTTTCTTGTAATGGCAGAAATTCACAGAATTGAAAGCAGGTCCATCTTAATTCCTCTGTTCAATAAAGCACATTAAACAAGGACAGGCATACATCGGAGAGGAGGACACTGAAAGAAGAGGAGCGAGATTGGAACTCAGATCTTACATTTGGCCTCAAAAAGTTTGATTTCTCCTTTACAGCCATCATCTCGAGTTTTGGAGAGGTTACTGAATGAAGGCACGCACAATAGAAACTCGAGTTCAGGCTACAATTCTAATTGTTGATTAGTTGATTCTTAAGAGGGTTCATTCCAACTGCAATGATCAGAGAAGGGGAATAGAATGGAAAAGTTTAGTTGTAAGCACTGGCCAAGACAGCTGGAACACACTACAAGCTGAAAAGGTCAAATGGCTTTTCCTTGTGCCAATGTCTTTTGCCTTCGTCAGTGATGAACCTTCATTCCTACTGCGTTTAGAAGACAGAAAGGTAACTCAAAGAGCATCGTCTAATTACCTCCCCCACAGACTCAATCTCTAGGAAGTCCTCGCTAGACTTCCTCCCCCATTCATTTTGATTGTTCAGTTATTCTAATATGTATTTAACAAGCTCCTCGAACTAGGCAGCGGGAAATTTATACCAGCATCATGCTATTTGAAAAAGATACTTAGGTTTCTCCTGGCGTGCTGGGAAACAATTCCCCAGATAAAATTGGTCACTCAGTTCATGTTCATGTATAGGTGGGATGCATGGTTTGGATACTCTCAAGGATGGTGATGGGTTTCCACTTGGCTGACCAAAAAAAAACAATAATCTTCATGGCTGTTTGTGGGCCATTGCAGTGCACAAGTCGGCTGCCACCTACAAAATAGTCATTACATTAAAATCCAGTGAAGCACTTTGAGATATCCTCTAGATGTGAAAGGTGCTGTACCAAATGCAAGGATGAATACTAACATTATGAATAATGGACTCAAACTGCAGTGAAGTCAATCTGGCCAAATTGGCGATTGAAGGCTCCTCTGACAGCGGTTGGACGAGATGTTTCCCTGGGGTGAAGCCTTCAACACAGCTCTGTGTAACAGCTGCTTCACCAAGTCAGCTGGGACTAAGACTTTAAAAGCAAAGCACTTGCCAACTGGCCTGGAAAAGGACTAGCGACACAGTTACTAATGGGGAGTTCCACCCACTCTCCCCTCTCCGAGGGTTCCTCTACGCATCTGTTTTTGGAGTGAATCTGCTCAACAACAACTTGCATTTATATAGTGTCCTCATGCAGGGTAGAGTTCCAGAGGGATAATTTTTTTTTCGTAAGAAACTAATGTTTTCAATTTGGACGCTGGTTGCCTTTTTTAAAAACTATGGAAAACACAACTTTTGAATTTTCTACAATTCTGTATCATTTTACATTTTTAGACAAAATGGTCTTACGGGCTAAAGACAAGGTGGAATTTCAAGGCCTAAACTTTCTGAAGGGATTGAATTACTTGGGTCAAATCCACAATTAAACAGCATAAATCCTTCCAATTGGCCTCATGGTTTTTCTGTGAAGTGCTTTGGAACCTCTCGATAACATGATAAGGCGCTATATCAAATGCAAGGACTATTATTAGTTATACAGCTGACTAGGTTTGGGGGCCCCAGAGTATGCGTTGGGGTAACTGCTGGAGTCTAACCAGCTAAAACTGCACAGCTTGCCACTGTCTGGCAAGCTTTCCTGCTGTTTGTCCAGCAAGGACCTCTCTACCTGTTGGGGCTTTCACTTGGGAGTTAACAGGAGCTCAGTGGATAGATTCCCTATCCCCAGTAACTACTCTGCCCTTCCAAATCCTCCGCTGAGACAGAGTAGCTGTATTATCATCAGCAGTTTCCTGGAATACTGCTGATCAGCCTGGCTCAGAAACCAGACTACCGAGACAGTCACAGAGGGTTGGCTCGATTCCAACATTCTGTTGCCAAACATGTTACTTTGGAGCTACTTCAGCTCCACAGAGACCCCACTTACCTCCCCCCCAAGGAAAATAGCCACTCTGTTCTCTGTAATTATAGCGAACCGCCCAAGGTTTAATCCTCTTAATTCCCACTGAGAGACGGATCCACCAGTTGGAGATGTGGAGTTTAAGCAGCAGCCTCTGGCCTCTGCAGCCAATCAAGGTGGGGTCCAGGAGCTGGACGTATGAACGTGTGTCACGAACTTGGACTCTAGGTCACGCCTTCCAGCAGCTGTCACCCCAAGCCTCAGAGTTTTCTCATCAGCTATCTGGCGGGCAACTGGCTTCAAGGAATAGAAGAGAAATTGAAAGACTTTTGGGGGTGGGGTGGGTGGGTGGGGGAATCCAACCAGCACAACACACAATTTGAAATCTCCAATTTCCTCACTGGCCACCCACAGTGACCTCTTCGATTGACAGCTGCAGTTCAACCCCTGCAATAAAAATATTTCGTTTTTCCATTTGGAATTTGGCCATGTGTCTCCGGGCGCGAGATAAAACAGAAAATGTATCTTTGGTATTGTGTTTGGCCTTAGTGCAAAACTGCTACTGATATAGAATTAAGAGGACTAAAGCGTGCATGGTAAAGTATATTTACACAGAACAGAGTGACTATCCTCCAGTCCAGTTCCTGAGTCAGGTGGGTCCGCAGTTTTCCAGGTCACTGCTGATGACAGCACAACCCAGACTAGCCCATCGGCAGGACCTGGAAGATCAGTCGCTGGGGACAGAGAATCCTCTCACTCAGATCCTGTTAATCCTGCAAGCCTAACGGATAGGGTAGTCCTAGCTGGACAAGCAGCAGGAAAGCTTGCCAGACAGTGCCTTCAATAGCAAGGCTATGCAGTTTTAGCTGGTTAGACTCCGCCGTTACCCCAACGCACACTGGGATCCCTAAGCCCAGTCTTGCCAACCTGCGCCTAATACTTTCTGGGAGAGTGAGCATTCCATTCCAATGATCTATCTCTAGAATTTCCATGTGCTGGTGGGATGCCTGGAATTCTTAGTTTGGTTTGGATACTTTTAAGCCCGGTGATGGGTTTCCACATGTGACAGACACCTGGCTGACCAAGTAAAAAGCAGTTTTCCTTTCTGGAAACATTTTCACATGAGCTAACCATATGGATTCTTTCAATAAATGAGCCTATACTGTTACCTACAAATTAGTGACTTCCTAGCCAGGAGTCTGCACAGTTACTTTTCAATGTGCTATTAATGACCCCCACTTCCCCTCCACCCTTCGACTCCAAACCCCAATTTAGATGCAACCCTATCCAGCACCTTTGGAACGTGAAAGGTGCTATATATATGCGATTTGTTTTGGCTGTTGCTGTTGTTGCCTTTCTTTAGTGAATAACAGAAGCTATCCTAAAAATAAACACTGATCTCCCACATTTATCAGAGGTGAGATGCAACTCTAGCTAACACATTAACCTCGTATCCGGCACCTTTCAGTCAGCGCAACAACAACAACAACAAGATTCCATTTATAAAGCGCCTTTCACGTCAGGAGGACGTCAAGGCCCCAGCGCAATGCTGGGGTGGGGTGGTGGGGGGGGGGGGTGGGAGTGCTACATTGCTGGAGGCGCCATCCTTCAGATGAGATGTTAAACCAAGGCCTGTTTGTCTGTTGAGGTGGACGTTAAAGATCTCATGGCTCTGTTGGTTGTTTTTGGGATGTTGCTGTGCAAAATTGGCTGCCGCATTCACCTACACAATAGAATATCACTACACTTTACAGCAAATCTTGTGAGATGCTTGGAGACTCCCTCCTGATGTCAAAGATGCGATATCAAAGGCGAGGATTATTACTATCATTATTGTGGTCAAAGACAAGTATCAATCAGGGCAGATTAATACGATTTCCTTTGCAATCACGCGCCTAATAATCCCTCCAAAAAACAAAAACAATAATAAATTGGTCATTTTCAATCTACGACTGTTTGTGGGACATTGCTGTGCGCAATTGGCTGCCGTGTTCGCCCACAAATATACAGTCAATTCACTTTACAGTGTGTTCTGTGAAGCGCTTTGGGACGTCCTCCCGACGTGAAAAGCGCTATATCAAATGCAAGGATTATTATTATTATTATTCACTTCACTCAGGTCCTCTGTCGAGTACCCTGAACTCATCCTACGATGAAACTGTTCTAAACAGGAGAGGTGGGATACTGAACGTAGCACATTGGGAAACATTCGGAGACTTAGCTGTTTGACCTACCAGGGGACGAGCAAGGCTTCCTCTGTACTGTGCAAGTTCTGCTCTCGCTGTTTGGGGGACATTTGACATCTTCTATGGAAGGTGCTTGGAGGAGCTCTCTGGTCCTGGTCTCTGAACCCCGTTTGAATCCACACGTCTTCCCCCGCTTCGTGCAAGGACCCCACTGGCTCCACTCACCCAGGTCACATTGCGCTTGGGAAAAAATTACAAATAAAGTTTAAAAACACACTAATATCCGAGCCCGCAAAAAGTGAGTAGGAAGAAACATTTACAATGAATATGAGCAACGCTTATACTGACTGCATCAGTTTAGAACAAGTTGTTCCCATGTTGAAATCCACCACATCATAATTAAACACATTCCGGCTGTCGTAACAACTTGCAATTATAATAATGGTGCCTTTTAATGTAGAAATGTTTTAAACTTCTTTACAGAGACAGAGTGGGAGCTGAGCAAAGTGACTGATGTGAGGGGAGGGGGGAGAAATAGAAGAGAAGAATGAAGACCCTCAATCCTAAAGCCCACAGCAAGTGAAACATGTCAGTGTTGGGCTGAAACCTAAATGAAGGAGAAGGGAATAGACGGTTATGGGAAAGGGGATTAGGAAGGGTGGAGTATAAACACTACCGCAGACTAGTTGGGCTGGATGGCCTCTTTCTATGTAATACACAGGTGCCAATCTCAATGGCCAACTTCATTGGACTATCTCCTTTCAAATTCACTGTCAAAGATGTTGTCGTAGGCAAATAGCAAACGTGCCAATACTCACCAGCGTGGCTGCACTCCATGGTATCGTTCGTGGCCGCAAAGCCCTCTGGACAGCTGTCGTAACATTTCCCTCGGTGCAGGTACAACCCCTCTTTACATTTCGTACAAAAGTTTCTGCTAAAGCAAGCCTCACAGTTCTCAATTTTACATTCTGCAAAAGACAACGGTGAGAATGTTCCAAAGATGAAACCTCGGTACAACTTCATCTTATAAGGAAAGTTGATCGCAAAGGCGGAGAACGTATCGACAGCAACGCAGACTTATCAGGTTACACCTTGAGGGGTGGTGGGTGGGTGGAGGGTTGAAAAATTGTCCTATTTCAGATTTTTTGGGCTCAGCCAGGTGTCTGACACATGTGGAAACCCATCACCATGGTTAACAGTATCCAAAACAAGTTGAAAATACCATGCATCCCATCTACACATGGAACTTACAGAGATAGATTGTTGGAATGGAATTTGCACACACTTCCTGGAGGGACGGATCCTGCTTACCTCATCCCGGAAAGTATTAGGCGCAGGTTGGCAAGAGCTAAGGAAAGTTGATCGCAAAGGGACCTCAGAGTGTGCATTGGGGTAATGCTCGAGTAAAACTGTGTGAGGCGCATATCAAATGCTAGGATCATTCTTATTAATAATAATAACTGGGTGTATTTAACATCTTCCTGTTCATTTATAGTAATAATAATAATAATAATAATAATCCTTGCATTTGATATAGCGCTTTTCACGTCGGGAGGACGTCCCAAAGCGCTTCACAGAACATACTGTAAAGTGAATTGACTGTATATTTGTGGGCGAACGCGGCAGCCAATTGCGCACAGCAATGTCCCACAAACAGTCGTAGATTGAAAATGACCAATTTATTATTGTCTTTGGTTTTGGAGGGATTATTATTAGGCTCTGTGTGGAGTAAGGAAACTTGCCCAAGGTTTCGCCCTCTGCCTGGAATTGAACTCAGGTCTCTTGCTTGCAAAGCGAGTGCTCTAACCACTGAGCTACAGGACTCCAATAACCCTTAATTTGATACAATGCCTTTCACATTGGGAGCACATCTTAAAATATTTCACTGGATATGCTGTAAAGTGTAGTGACTGTGTGTTTTGTAGGCAAATGCATTTGTGTGTCAGGCTGCACTTCCTCGGGAGATGATTCTGGGGAACAGAGAGGGTTTGCGTCAGACACAGACCACCGAAGAGGAGCCTTGGACTGCTTGGTGTTTTGTTCCGTCTTTCCAAGGAAGCTTATGTAAACTGATATCATTCATTTTGAATCTTGGATAAATAGAGTAATTTTGCCAATATGGATGGCTCCATCCAATTGGCTTGGCATTCACTGGTCCCCGTCAAAATGTTATGTACTGTTATTAGGCAGATCTCCCTGGAGCAAATCTCAGTCAGAGCGGGAAATGTTGTAGCCAATTAGAGTTGCAAACAGAGAACTGTGGGTCATTAATTGACCTAACATATACCAACCTACTTTCTGTCCTTGAGATTTGACAATCGTTATGCTACCTGCATCTTTCCTTACGGAAATAAATCTGACACTGTTGATGTCTCCATCTGTGTGCGAGCTGCGTTGCTATGGGAATGTGCACAACACCCTGACAAAGCCGGGTGCAAACATTAGTGCGGCCATGTAAGGAAGGTGGCTGCTGAATGACGGCCAGCTTGGTTGCAACCTCTGAGAGAATGACGGGCGAAGAGAGCAAAGAATGCGATGGAAACGCATGGTTTAAACTGGCCCAAGAAAACTGGCAACAATTCTGAGATCTGGGACGCATCAAAACCATCAGCACAAATGAGGCTGGATAGAAAGGCAGAAAACAGCCACATTCTGCTGCGTCACAGTAACAACTAATCATTCGACTGACTTTGGAAGCGAGGTTCATGTCCTTGCTGAGTGCTCGATGAAAGCCAAACCCATCGGAATTCTCTCTTGAGTATATATATATATTTTTTAAAAAACGTGCACACCACTCGCTCAACATTCCTCGTGGGCACCCGAGCAGCATTTTAATCCTTGGGGTTTTAACCCACAGGTCTGGAGAAATGCCGGTCTCACCAGGGCTGACTGATGTTACCCACCTTCGGGGGGGGATTTCCATTTTGTCGAAGCACTAACGATTCTTCCATGTCCAGTGTAGTTATACAATAATATTTGCATTTGATACAATGCCTGATCATGCCTTTGAGATGTCTCAAAGCACTTCACAAATTTACTGTGTATTTGTAGATGAACACGGCAGCCAACCTGTGACCTGTGATACCCCACAAACAGCCATGAACACAACGGACAATTTTATCTTTTTTAATCTTTAATGTCCTGTTCAACAGGGATAAACGGGGCCTCGGTTTATAATCTCAAGAGAATAATCTCATTCTCGGTGGTTGAGGCACTCGTCTCGCAACCGAGAGACTGGGTTCAATTCCCGGGTAGGGCAAAATGTTGGGCAAGTTTCTTTACTCCACACGCTTCTGTTTACCTAGCAATAAGTAGGAACCCGGTTGTTATTTGAATCACTTTTCCTAGAGTAATAATAAATAACGAATTGGTCACTTCAATCCATGACTGTTTGTGGGACGCTGCTGTGTGCAATTGGCTGCCGCGTTTTGCCCAGAAATATACAGTCAATTCACTTTACAGTATATTATGTAAAGCGCGTTGAGACGTCTAGAAGACGTGATGAGGCGCTATATCAAATGCAAGGATTATATTATATTATTATTCGAAGGACGGTACCTCCAGTAAGCAGTGCTCCCCTCAGCTCTGTACTGGAGCATTAGTCCGAGTCCCAAGTTCTAGACGAGGGACTAAACCCACAACCTTCTGACCCAGTGGCGAGAGACCTGCAGCTGAGCCAAGCTGACAAATATACACACAAGGTGACTAATCCCTAAATAAGCGGGGGGATTAAACTTGGACTGGTCGGCTCTTTGGAACATCCTCCCAACATGAAAGGCACCCACATAAATGTAAATTTGTACTGTATAAACTTAGTCATCATCGTTCAGAGTTAAAATATCAAAGACCACAACAAGGAGCGTCTAATGGTGACTGATACATGCACAGATGTTTCTCTTTACAGCGTTCGGGGATGATGTGATGATTGGGTGAATCTAATCTCCTCTCATACATCTCGAGCACTCTCCCTTGCACTGGACGAGTTGAACTGGACGGACAAAACCAGAAGCAAACGGGAAGCAAACTACAGAGTAACGTGCTGCAACTTTTCTTTCTATGAACTCTGGAGTTTCTGACGCTCTGCATTAAAAGTCACAGTTACAGATGAAATGAAAATATGGATCAAATATGGCTGAAGGCAATGTCCTCTGTGTTCTATAATCAAATTATACACTTTCCTTTCAAGAGTTATTCAAAACTGGGATGCATTATACTGAAGCTAAAATAAAAGGCTTTTGGAGCGATAATCTAACGAGACAGTTACTTTGGTTCCGATCGTTCATCTTAGTCCTTTTGAAGGAGCTGCATTATATTATTTAAAAAATATTTACATTTCATGGAAATTTCCTGGCAACGAGACGTTGCTGGTTCGTTCTGAAATGCAGTTCAACCTCATTAATTACACCCTCAGGGACTGACAAAGCACTTCTCAACACTAGGTTCATTTTATTGAGATTTGAGCTTTCTTACTGGAGCTTACAGAGAGAGAGCAGAGGAGAATGTTTTTAATGAGCTTTAGTGAGACCAACACTTGCAATAGTGATGCTCTGCAGTGCAGTCAGTGACGGGTCTCGAGGAAACAGTAAAACAACACACAGGCTAAGCTGCATTGAGTTCCTCTCAGGCACCTTCCAACAGCTGCTTATACAGCGATGCTGACATACTGGTAGACAGGTCAACTGAGGACAAACTATAAAAGAAAAAGATAAAGAAAGTCGACCATCTTATTTGTCAAATAATTTAATATTAAATGTACAGATTATTGTTAACATAGCCTATTTGGGTGGACTAACCTTTTTTTTGCATACAATAATATAAAAAGGCATAAAAGGAGGCAATTATTATTGTTATTATTATTAGTTCTGACATCCTTATTATTAGGTCTGTCATGCCTTTGCCAGCTCCAAGAGCCATTTGTTTAGTTCTACTCCCCTGCCTTGTCCCCATCACCTTTTACACTTGTTCAAATATTTTCTGTGCAGTGGCTTTAGTCTTGTCGTCTTTTGCTATCTTTTCCCCATCCCTCCCATCATCAACACAAACCTCTCATAAGCCACACTGTTAGTGAGGTGCAGAAAATAGCCAACCTCCGGGGCATCAGGTCACCATTGACTTCATGCGTTAGCTCAGATGGGCACAATGCACAGGAAGCAATGTCAATCGTGATCTAATGACCCTGGAAGTCGGTCATCATGTTAATCACTTGTCAGTGCTAGAAGCCATTAGCCCAGGTCCATAGGACAGCAATGATGAAAGCAACAAGGGGGGAGGGGTAAGTAGTTATACTGGGGAAGAGGTTAGACTGGGTGGTCCATCATTCAGACAAGAGATAGGAGCTTCCACTTACTTGTGCACTTGTTCATTTCTGGTGTCCGAACTCCAAAATATCCAATTGGACAAGACGGCAAGCAGATGCCAGTCTGTTTAATGTCATTCCTTTCCAGGAGAATGAACAATTTGGACAAACACTTGAGACATCCATTGTACTCCGAACATAGTTCACAACCTTTCGGACAAACTGGGGTTATCTCCGTGCTGACTGGAAAACAGAAAGAGAAACACACACAGCAATAAGACAAGGTTGTTGGGCAATGGAATATAAGTGGGCCTGTCAGCACCCAGCACTCTCAGCTAAAGTAATCATAGAATCATAGAATTATTCAGCTCAGAAGGAGGCCATTCAGCCCATTGTGTCTGTGTCGGCTCTTTGAAAAGAGCTTCCAAATCAACCCCACTCCCCCGCTCTCTCCCCATAGCTCTGCAAACTTGTCCTCCCCAAATAATTATCTACTTCTCTCTTAAAAGTTGTTATCGAATCAGCTTCCACCAGCCTTTCAGGCAATGCATTCCAGATCCCAACAACTCGCTGTGTAAAAACATTTCTCCTCACCCCCCCTCTGTTTCTTTTAACAACTATTTGAAATCGGTGTCCTCGGGTTACCGACCCACCCGCCAGTGGGAATAGTTTCTCCTTCTTCACCCTATCGAATCCCCTCATAATTTTGAAAACTTCTATTAAGTCTCCTCTTAACCTTATTGTAGAAAAGAAATGAGATTGTAGACTAAAGTACTCCCCCATTTGGTTCCAAAGAGGTGCTGCAACTATTTGCTGTTTGGAGTCCTGTAGCGTAGTGGTTAGAGCACTCGCCACCCAAGCGAGAGAACCAGGGTTTGATTCCCGAGCAGGAACCTAAGGCAAGTTTCCTTACTCCACAAGGCTCCGTTTACCGAGCAGTAATCCAGAATTTGGTTGTTAGTCGATTGGCGGATCGCTTTCTGGGGCCAATAATCTCTTCCAAAAACAGATTGGTGGGGGGGGGGGTCATTCAATCCATGACTGTTTGTGGGACGTTGCTGTGTGCAATTGGCTGCCGCATTTCGCCCACAAAATATACAGTCAATTCACTTTACAGTATATTCTGTGAAGACGTCTCAAGATCAGTTCCGATGAGGAAGGCCCATTTGATTTCATCATTGCAGAATACCCACCCTATCTCCCTCCCATCACAGCATCCTACACACCAGCCTGGCTTCAGTTGGCAGCACTCTCGCCACTCCCCCAGAAGCTTGTGAGTTGCCAGTTACATGATATCGTATATGGGAACTTGTAGAATATCGTGTATTTCTGACTCCAACCACGGTTTTCAAATGGAGAAACTTAGTTCTTTTAATTAATTCATTCCTATTGCACCGAAAGGAGTTTCTCCAGCTGCCAGGACAACAACCCCACCCCATAAAATTGCTCACTCATTTCATGGCTGTTTGCAGGCCATAGCTGCGTGCAAATTAGTTGCCGGGTTCACCTGCAAAATATACAGTCTCTGAACTTCACAGTAGATTTAGTGAAGTTCTTCGAGACGTCCTCTTGACGTGAACGGTGCTTTTGAGTTCTGATGAAAGGTCATAGGCCTGAAACATTAACTCAATTTCCTCTCTCCATAGATGCTGCCTGACCTGCTGCGTGTTCCCAGCCACTTCTGTTTTTGCTTCAGGTTTCCAGCATCTGCAGTATTTTGCCTTTTGCTATATCAAATGCATTGGATTATGACTATTTTATAACTCAGGATAATTTTTAAATGCCATAACCCTCGTCTGATGTGACTCATCCCCTCCCATCATAAACTTTCTCTCTTTGTTCCGCGCGTGGATAATAGTTTGACCATTGAGTGCCAGTGGTCTTTCATAGCAACTGAAGCAGCCAAACATAACAGCTTGTACACTGGAGAGAGTCTGCAGTCAAAAGGGCAACTTTCAACACCAGTTCTTTTTTAAAAAAATGTATTTAGTTTGTTCCCGGATTCCCTTTAGCAAATCCTTTCGCAAAATCTTGAAAATTAGGGCCAATATACGTCGAATGTTTCAACGTGACTGATGTTTCTCTCAACTTCGAGGGTGGGAGAAACTGTGGTCACGGGGCTCCCGAATTAAGTGGTGAAAATCACTTATCGGAACTTAAAACTTTACTTTAGAACGACTGGCATCCCCCACGCCTGTTCTCTTTAATAAGCTTCAATCACCTTATTAGCACGAGCAAACAGCATTAACATTCAGCACATGTGGGGAGAAATTCCCCCTGGATTCAGAGGAACTCCATTAACGTAGCATTTCACTGCATCCAGGTTTTGCCAAATTCTTTATTTTGGAGCTGCTTTCTCTTAGTTGTTTTAAGAAACGACCAGATGCCTTAGGACACAATCACATTGGCCTCTCTCTCCCCCCCCCGCTCTCTCCCCCCCCACCCCGCTCTCCCCCCCCACCCCGCTCTCCCCCGCACCCCGCTCTCTCTCCCCCCCCCGCTCTCTCCCCCCCCCGCTCTCTCTCCCCCCCCCGCTCTCTCTCCCCCCGCTCTCTCTCCCCCCCCCGCTCTCTCTCCCCCCCACTCCTCCCCCACGCTCTCCCCTCCCCCCGCTGTCTCCCCCCCCGCTCTCTCTCCTCCCCCCGCTCTCTCTCCCCCCCGCTCTCTCTCCTCCCCCCGCTCTCTCTCCCCCACTCCTCCCCCGCTCTCTCTCCCCCCACCGCTCTCTCTCCCCCCCCCCGCTCTCCCCCCCCGCTCTCTCTCCTCCCCCCACCGCTCTCTCTCCCCCCCACTCCTCCCCCCGCTCTCTCTCCCCCCACCCGCTCTCTCCCCCCACCCGCTCTCTCCCCTCCCCCGCTCTCTCCCCTCCCCGCTCTCTCTCCTCCCCCCGCTCTCTCCCCTCCCCCACTCTCTCTCCTCCCCCCACTCTCTCCCCTCCCCCCACTCTCTCCCCTCCCCCCGCTCTCTCTCCTCCCCCGCTCTCTCCCCTCCCCCCGCTCTCTCTCCTCCCCCCGCTCTCTCTCCTCCCCCCGCTCTCTCCCCTCCCCCCGCTCTCTCCCCTCCCCCTGCTCTCTCTTTCTCTCTCCCCACCTCTCTCTCGCCCCTCTCCCTCCCCTCTCTCTTTTTCCCCTTCCCTCTCTCTCTGTCTGAACATAAGATTCGATGGACTGAAAACCTTTTGTGGTTTACAATCAGCAAGGTGCAGAAAGAATTTATCCTCCCTTACAAAGATATGAAGAAAACATGAAGGGAAAATGTCTGGAGGTAAAACTAGCGAGGATTCATTAGGAAGTTTCTGGGGATAACAACAAAAATGAATAATCCTTGCAATAATATAGCTCCCATCAATGTCCAAAAATGCCAATGTATTTCACAGCTTATTCCTGTCAATTTTGTGACATACGTAATCATAGGTAAACACGGCAGTTAACTTGCACATAGAAATATGCTACGAACAGCCATGAAGTGAGTGACAAATTTTAATCAGATTGTAGGCCAGGACACTGGGAGAGAGAAACTTCCTTTTTTTCCAAATAGTGCCATGGGATCTTTAACGTCTACCTGAACAGTTACAAACAAAACCTCAGTTTAAAATCTTATCTGATGGTCAACCGAGCTGAAACTCCTGGATTTTGAAGCCAGAAGGCACCAGAACTTTTCAAGACGTTGCCGGGAAAAGCATGACCTTTGGCGCTGATGGACATTAATGGGAATTCCATTTGTGAGGCAAAATGTCATTTTTATTCCAATGTGTTTGGGTTGCAGCCGCAATAGAGCAGGTTTTGCACCAGCTCCTGAAGGAGTGGGTTTGGTATCCAAAATACTTTTTGCCCTCCGCCCCCATTTGTTCTTACCAAGTCCTATTTCCATGATGATGAAGTGCACAGACATACACTGACCAGAAAGACCCTCCAAATAAACTTACAAATCACAGTCACTGCACTTCATGGTAAATTCCTGTGAAGTGTTTTGACATGTCCTCCCAACATGAAGGCGCTACATCAAAAGCAAGGATTATTCTAAATAATTTCCATGATTTTCACAGGGTAGATTACAAAAACTTAGAATACAGAGGTGATTATAAGGTTATAATAATAAATAATAATCCTTCCATTTGATATAACGCTCTTTACATCTTCTAGATATCTCAAAGCACTTCACAGAATATACTGTAAAGTGAATGATTGTATATTTGTGGGCAAACATGGCAGCCAATTGCGCACAGCAATGTCCCACAAACAGTCGTGGATTTATCAGTTCATCAATTATCAGTTCACATTTCAGTTACACACATTAATTAGGACTTTGTGTAATCCCCAAATTGGCTTTTTAGTTTGCTTTCTAATCATTGTCAGGTATCTAATGGTCTCCATACATATCATTTGAAGTCCAAGGTTACCTCATGACTGGCTTGTAATCAGTCCCAGGTCTCTATTAATTTCCTTACAAAACATTCAAGCCCCTCAATTAGACCATTACTGCCCCTTAATCACTTCCAGGTATTCATTACTCTATTCAGTATGTTGGCTGAACGGAATCACAGATGCTCAGTGCAATGCTCGGGGTGGGACCTGAAGCATCAACACGTTGCCAGTTAGCCCAAGTTAAACGCAGGCTGCTTCCAATTCATTTGGGGGAGAAAGGAATTTCTTTCATTTGTTACCTCTACCCAAAAGGCAGCATTTGCAGTACTGCAATCATTGCAATCATTCACTGCTTGGTGGAAATGTGACAACCGGGAATTAAAACTGGACTTCAGTTCAACTGGTACAAGACTTTGAGCGGTTTTGATAACAGACCAGATGGAATGAGGTTATGTCATCTGAACATAACCTGGTTAAAGTGGTCCCTTTTCGCAGTTCCCTCCCTGCCCACTTCCCCTTTATGACCTGAGATTTGGAGGGCTTGCGTACTGCCAGAGAAACTGCAGACAACATACGAAAACAATCAAGTCAAACAGTTGATAAGGCTGCCCGGAGTCACTCGCTCACAGGCTTTGGTTTTGCTGTAGCATGCGGATCAGCCATGCGTCACACAGACACATTCCAGGTAGCTGAGTGATTGCCCCACGGCACCTTAGGGCAGTCTTATTAATAAATTCTTCCAGGGGGGAAAAAAGTTGCTGCGTTTCCTAGGAAGAGAGCTGCTTGTTTGCCATTACAACACCATCAAAATGAGCGACATACAGTGTGGACCAGAATAAAGGCGGCAATTTTGCAAGTTCTGAAAAGTCCTAATAATAG